AGAAGCTTTCTATTTAAATGTTTTTGCACAGCAATATTTAAAAGAGGTTTTCACACGATTGGGTATTTACCCAAAATTTGGTGCAAATCGTATCCCAATCGTGTGAATACACAAATATTTTTCTTTATCCCAATCAAGAAAAATAATTTGTTTAAATTTTTCAATATGTAGAAGTTCACTGTATTGTACCAATCGTGTGACTGCAAAAAAAAACTGATGTCCCATTTTTTTATTTTGTACCAATAGCCCAATATAAAAAAAGGACAAATCTGTACAAATATACCAATCGCGTGACACTCACTGCCTTAAGGGTTTACATATCGAATATGTATGTATGTTTATATCTATGAATTTGTTAAAGTTTTTAAATTATATACTCGTTTATTTGTAGTTTATTTATACGAAAGCTCCGTAAATGATTAAAACGATGTTTAAATTAAATATAACACTGATGTAACTAAATATTTTTGTGTCATAATAATAATGCTAAGAAGATTACCATTATTGCAAATGTATGCCACTCAGCGTTGCCAACTTTTGATTTTCAAAAAGCACCAAAAACTTGGAAAACAGGTGTTTTACCAAACTAAAAGCACCAATTTTTTTTTAATAAAAGGATGATTTTTTCATAACAGTTTGTATATAACAAAAGCAAAAATTAACAATATTTACAAGAATACATACATAAATCAATACACAAAACGTTTTCGCTCATAACGATTGAATAGCCTCTACACATGCTATGATGACTCATGCTTACGACGTAATACCGAAGTACTGTTAAAACTACAATATCTCGAGAAAGAAAAATCGAATCGCAACACACGAAAATAATGCCCTAAGTAGAAATGAGCAAAAAATTTGATGTTTTCTTTATATAACCTCAAATATCGCAAAAACCCGTGTTTTTTAAAAATCTGGGGGTAGGATATCTAAAAATTCTAATTCAGGTGGTAAAAAAATCAAAATTTGTACAAACAATTAGAAAAGAAAAATAAATAAATCCTTAACTTACCTGCGTCCTAGCATTTTCAACGCGACTACAATTCAACAAGGTGGGTTTACAACTTCAGCTTTTTATCAATCATGGTTGTATTTTAGTGCATTTAAATTTGTATATTCTTGTAAATTCCGCATCTTCATGAGACACCGCAGCTTATAATATTTCAAAATATTTCAGGTTTTAACTATCTCGAAGTAATATTTATTTATTTATTTATTTATTAAAAAATAGCCTACGGCTAATACAATTATTCTTATATATAAATAAAATTTCAAAATATTAGTTCAAAAAAAGCACTAAAAAAGGCACTAGGCACTAAGTAATTTTTTTTGGCGTTTTAATCTTTAAAAAGCACTAAATCTAGTGCTTAAAGCACCAAGTTGGCAACTATGATGCCACTGATTGAAAAAGGCTGAAAAATTATTACATGATTAATGTTCCTAAAGATACTGTAGGGACGCAAACTTAATTTTGGGTCGTAGATTATGGATCTGTATACCGTTTTTCTAGATCAGGTCATTTTCCCAAAATATGTACATCTTAAGTTTGCATTGCGATTGAAAAAAAATCAAATTTTAAGGCCAGTATGCAGCTCTCAAGGAAACGGTCAAGAAAAAATTGCCATTAATTCGTGAGTGCACACATGTGTCCAAGGAATATTGACATCTGATACTTCACCAGCCTGTTGCCTCACTCTTTCCTCAAGAAATTATGGAACGGGCATATATTTCACCACCAAGCATGGGTTGCCTTGTGCCCTTTTTCTGCAAAAAACTTTAGAAAATCATAGTAGAAAGCGTAGCAAATTTCTTAAGAACTGCGTACTGCCTCAAGAAAATTTTACACAAGTAAATTTCTTAGCCATTTCTCGTACGTCATTTTATATGGAGCTTTTGCTTTTCTTGACCTTTAACATGCAAAATGTTACTCATACGCCATGTCCGAGTGTGTACAATTACGATGTGGCGTATGAATAACATTAAGGGTATTCATCAAACCTTATAAATGCATTGTAAACCGTATAAACTTATAATTGTGTAAACCTTATAAATGAACTGTCAAAATTTGTATGGAAACTCGTTTACACATTTCTGATAAATTTATC